GTATTTTGAAAATGAATGAGGAGGGGCAACCTGCTCGCGACGATGAGGACGCACCGCCTACTGTCCAACGCAGCACGCAACATTCATTACTCAAGACTCCTTGGTGTTGCGGTTATTCCGTTTCTAGTTCTTCGTTTCGAATTGTTAGGAAGGGGTGATAAGCGGAGAGAGCATCCCAGCAAGTGAGCACTCCGTGCCCTTTTTTCGCCTTGAGCACGTACAAACTCCACTGGGAATGGGCTCTTTCTATAGGACACTTCGCATGATTTTTCTGTTTTATCCTTCACTACTGAATCGCTCTCCACCTCCGTCGTCAGTATTTGAACCGCACAATTTATCAAATTTGTGCCTGGGACAAGGCCTTTGTACGAACCTACCACCATTGTTCATAACCTTTCACTCAGAATGCATCTCCATTTGGACAGACCGCGACTTCAACCACTGGAGGGTTATTTGGTTCGAATACTGCCACAGCGAGCACTGGCAGCCTCTTTGGTAAACCAGCCGGAACGAGTACATTTTCTTTTGGAACTCCATCGAATACTGCATTTGGTAAATCATTTGTCTTGGTTTTTACAGTTTTATGTGGCGATGATGATGTGCCAGAAAATTCAGTGTTAATAACCAATCACATATTACAGGTCAAACGACATCAGGTGGTCTTTTTGGTAATACTCAAAAGCCAGGCGGATTATTTGGTAGCAGTACTAACACTACTGGAGGTGTGTTCTCTTCTTATTTTGTCCAGCTCACCCTCTAAGAGCGCAAATGCCGCCTACTACTCTAGCTGTTTGCTATGTACTCGCAGTGCCTAATGAAGCATTGGTGAAGGAGCTGCTGCATACGTACGTTTTGGCGCGGCACCAGCCTGTTTCGAGCAATCGTTGCTCCTATGAGTCGGGCAGCCACTGATGGAAGTAGGCCAAGTCGGCTGCGGTGGGTTGGGGGGATAAGATTGAATGACTTCTTGTGCGGGAGTGAGACTACCAACGAAACCATCTATCACAAAAAAAACTGTTCACAAATTCCTTCTTATTTTTTGGGTATAACAGCGATCTTCACCTCAATTACAGCAACTCAGGTTTAGCACAATAGCTTTTTTGAGAGTCTGTCCCTTTGGCCGACTTGCGCCATACTGGTTCTTAAATTCGATTGAAGCGTTAGATCAAGGGTACAAAAATAGTCAGAACAAGATTTTCCTGCAAAAAAAACCCACTATATAT